TTTGGGAGTATTTGTACTTCCTGAAACGTGAATAAAGTTGTTTTTGATTTTGACACAAACACACACACACCTGAGTTTGGGAGTATTTGTACTTCCTGAAACGTGAATAAAGTTGTTTTTGATTTTGACACAAACACACACACACCTGAGTTTGGGAGTATTTGTACTTCCTGAAACGTGAATAAAGTTGTTTTTTATTTTGACACACACACACACACCTGAGTTGGGAGTATTTGTACTTTCTGAAATGTGAATAGAGTTGTTTTTCATTTTCACACACACACACACCTGAGTTGGGAGTATTTGTACTTCCTGAAATGTGAATAAAGTCGTTTTTCATTTTCACACATACACACACATGTTTATCTTCATATTACATTTTTTTTGTTACAGTTACATGACCAAATTCTGTAAAACTTTTTTTTTTTCAATGTATCACTGACATCCTGATCAGTCCAATATTAATTCAGAATTTTGTTAACTTGTATACATTAGTTTCTTAGTGGTTGATAATTATCTCAGAATGCTGCAGTTTTTCACTGAGAAGACAAATTAAACGTTTTTTGTTGTCTCATATGAAGTTTAATTAACAGTTTTATTATGGACAATTTACTGGTATTTTGCATCCTATTTAGTGAAGCTGAAATTGTTAATTTTCACTTCAGACTGTTAATGACAATATGCATGTCTCTATAGGTGTTCTTGAAATTTAGAGTATGTTATAAATATCTGTTTGAAGATTTTCTGGTTGTTTTTTTGAACAAACACAACCCTTATTATTTTTCTAAGCTTGTTTAATTCTCATAATGCATGGATGTAATTTCTCAAATGTTACTCAAGTTATGTTGTTAACTTTCTCCAGTGAGCTTTGAAATCTCATGTTGGTTCCTTCGTTTGAGAGTCGAGGTTTGTTTGAAACAGTGAATGTTAATAAGCTTATATGTAATTGTAACTTCTCCAGAGATTACTATGATAGGATAATATGCAGTGTTGGGTTATTCCAAGACTGTCCTACATAGCAGACACAGATAGCCCAGTGTATAGCTTTGTGCTAAAACCAATATAAAACATCCATGTAGAATGTTTAACAGCTTTTATAGATTAGTGAGAAAAATAAAAACAGAATTATAGATAAAGTTTTTAGGATGATTTACTATTAAAGAAATTACTGGTGACAAGAAAAGTTAATTTATAACTGTGATAGTAAGTGGTTAAAAGTGTATATATGTACATATAAATAATTCTTCAAACTGTTGGTACTTGGGGAAACTTCATAATTACAGAACTGAGGAAAATAGACTCAAGAGTAAATCTATGGGTTTATAACATTAAAAATTGGGTTTTGATACCCACAGCATTGAGAGACCATTATGTATATTTATGCTTACCAACAACAAAAGACAAACTAATTTCTAGCCAGTATAGACTGTGAGAATCATTGGGACCAACCAACAGTAACAAAGTGCAACTTACATTTTATACATGCAATCTTTTATTTTTTGATCTAGAAGAGATTGAAATGCTTTAAAATGTTTCCAATTTTATTTTGATAATTCATTATATATACCTACTGTTTTAAGATGTGTCCTGTGTCAACATTATTGGCTTTATATGTCACATATATTTATACTTATTTTTTCACAGTTGTTGTTCGAAGTCACAAGTCCTTGTCATGGAGAGGTCCTACAGGGTATCCTGCCAAAGAGGAAGATTCCTTTAGACTATGCAAGAGTTTCCAGCTCTCCAATTTTTCCATGGGTATTTTAGTGCTTGGTCCATTACAGGAGAAACCCTGCCAATTTGCCCCTGCTGATTCATTGGTAAGTCTCAAACGTACAACTTGTATAAATATTAAAAAATACCCGTATTTTAGCAAGGTTTCATAGGTGAGCTCAGAAATTTCAAGTCCTAAGCCATTTCATTGAACTATTCAGAGAATCAATTTATTGACTTTAATAAATTATATCGTAGGAACTGTATTTTTAATTAATTATTTTGAGCATTTTTCCCCTTATTTCCAACCTGTTATAGTAAAAATACTTCATGTATTGTCTATTAAAGCATGTCTGATCTATGTGTACACTAATTTAACACATACATGGTGAAATTGATCAGAAACACTTACTCTTTAAAGAACTGAGTCTAAGTATTACTTCTAATTCTTAGTTGCATGAGATACAAGGCTACTGCAGTGATCTTAGTGATTTAAAAAACTGTCATTCTGTACATTCACATGTAGAAGATTTATGAAAATATCTGTATGTAGTTTAATTGTTGTGTACCTGAAGCCAGTGAGCCATTTACTTTCCTTTGCCCTCAAGAACTTGATCATAATATATATTTCTATTGTCATCACTTTGAGGTTAGCTGCATGATTTTGGGAGTGGGGATGGGAGCCTTTTTTACTGCATTATATTATGTAAACCTCAAAATATGTCAGTATAACTATGTGTGTGTGTGTATATATATAT